CAGATGCCTGGATGATTGATCAGAAAGGTATATTGTGCTAGGCTGGGAGAAAAGGGCAGATAGGCACAGGCAGTAGTGAGCCTGGAACAGGCCTCAGAGGACTGAATCCCAGGCAGCTGTGGCAGTTCCCAGACTCCTCAATCCACAAATGCCAAAGACAACTTAGAAAGTCAGTGAGAAAAGTCTACTTCTGTGGTGCTAAGAGAGAAAGACTGGGCCTCAGATCTAGTTCCCTGAGAACACAGCCCATGGTGGGGCAGCTGCCTCCTGAGCTTCTGGCCCACAGACTGAGGGGGAACCTAGTGGGTGATCAGAGGGGGATTGCAGGGTTCTCTCTCCTGGTGCTGAGGCAGGAATCTCTTGCTTTGCCCGTGCTTGGGTCTGGGTCACAGTTCTGGGTGGTGGTCCTGGGGTGAGGAGGAGCACTGGCTTGGTGGAGCTTGTAGTGGCTGTGGACAGGAAACCTTCTTCACAGTTCCAGGAAAGAAAGGAGTGCTTGTGGTCACTACTAGACCACAGCACAGGCCAGGAAAGGAGTGAACACCTCACCCCTTATCACACCACCTTGAAAGAAATGAAATTTATGGGTCCCTACAAGTACCTCTGAAAACAGCTATATAAACCCCTGAAGCTTGGGACAGTACTTCCTCCACATTGGAAGCAGATTTGTACCTTAATAAAGATTTTAAAACTCAATTAATTGGCTGGGATCATGAGCAAGCAGTGCAAAAAGAGTCCGACTACATTATCTTACTTTGGTGAAAAAGAAGATCAAAATATACAACCAGAAGAAGACAACAAAGTCAAAGCTCCTACATCCAAAGACTCCAAGAAAAATATGAATCAGTCCCAGGCCTTGGAAGAGATCAAAAGTGATTTTGAGAAGCAAGTAAGAGAAGTAGAGGAAAAACTGGGAAGAGAAATGAGAGTGATGCAACAAAATCATGAAAAACAAGTCAACAACTTGCTATAGGAGACCCAAAAAAATACTGAAGAAAATAACAACTTAAAAAATTGCCTAACCCAAATGGCAAAAGAAGTCCAAAAAGCCAATGAGGAGAAGAATGCCCTAAAAAACAAAACTGGCCAAATGGAAAAGGAAGTCCAAAAGATTACTGAAGAAAATACTTCCTTAAAAATTAGAATAGAGCAATTGGAAGCTAGTGACTTTATAGAAATCAAGACACTAAAAACAAATCCAAAAGAATGAAAAATAGAAAACAATGTGAAATATCTCATTGGAAAAACAACTGACCTGGAAAATAGATCCAGGAGGAGAATTTAAAAATTATTGGACTATCTGAAAGCCATGATCAAAAAAAGTGCCTAGACATCATCTTTCCAGAAATTATCAAGGAAAACTGCCCTGATATAGTAGAACCAGAGGGCAAAATAGAAATTGAAGGAATCTACCGATCTCCTCCTGAAAGAGATCGCCAAAGGAAAACTCCTAGGAATATTGCAGCCAAATTCCAGAGTTCCCAGGTCAAGGAGAAAATATTACAAGCTGCCAGAAAGAAACAATGCAAGCACTGTGGAAACACAATCAGGATAACACAAGTTTTAGCAGCTTCTACATTAAAGGACCATAGGGCATGGAATTTAATATACCAGAGGGCAAAGGAGATAGGATTACAACCAAGAGCCACCTACCCGGTAAAACTGAGTATAATCCTTCAGGGGAAAAGATGGTCATTCTGTGAAATAGTGGACTTTCAAGCATTCTTGATGAAAAGACCAGAGATGAAGAGAAAGTATGACTTTGAAATAAAAGACTCAAGTGGAACATGAAGAGTACTTGGGGCATACATTCCTGCATGGAAAAATGATATTTAGAACTCATGAGACCTTTGTCAGTATTAGGGTAGTTGGAGGAAAAAAAAAATATGTGTATGTGTAGGTAGATAGATAGATAGATAGATAGATAGATAGATAGATAGATAGATGGCACAGGGTGAGTTGAAGATTAAGGGGTCATATCTGGAGAATAAAATTAACAGATGAGAGAGGATTGCATTTGGAGAAGAAGAAAGTGAGTGGTAGAATGAGGTAAATTATCTCACAAAAAAAAATGAAAATAAAAGGCTTTTACAATGGAGGGGAAATGGGAGAAGTTGAGAGGGAATGAGTGAATCTTATTCTCATAGGATTTGGCTTAAGGAGGGAATAACATACACATTCAATTGGGTATGGAAATCTGTCTTACCCTTTGGGAAATTAGGAGGAGAAGGGGACAAGAGAGCAGGGGGATGATAGAGAGGAGGGCAGATTGGGAAAGGGGGTAATCAGAAGCAAATACTTCTGAGGAGGGATAGGGTCAAAAGAAAGGAAAAATAAATGGGTGTGCAGGATAGGATTAAGGGAAATAGAGTTAGTTTTTCATGACATGTCTACTACAGAAGTGTTTTGCATAACTGCACATGTATAACATATATTGAGTTGCTTGCCTTTTCAATGAGGGTGGGTGGAGAGGGAGGAAGGGAGAAGATTTGAAACCTAAAGTTTTAAAAATATATGATTAAAAAATGTTTTCACATGAAACTGGGAAATAAGGAACACAGGAAATGGGATACAGAAGTCTGTCTTGCCCTACAGAAAAATAGAAGGGAAAGGGGATAGGAGAATGGGGGGTAGATAGAAGAGAGGACAGAATAGGGGAAGGGATATTCAGAATGCATGCCATCTTGGGGTCAGGGGAGGGGTGAGATGGGGTGAAAATTTGGAACTCAAAATCTTGTGGAAATAAATATTGAAAACTAAAAATAAATAAATTGATATTAAAAAAGTGAAAAATGAAAAAAATTTAGAGGCTGTAAAAAAAATAAGATATGGCCTGGAGGAGGAAGAAGGAGCAGAGAGAAAGGCAGTGGCTGGTAGCCAATAGGTCACCCAATCAAACTTTGGTGACTCCCAGAGTAAGGAAGAAGGGCACCCATTTAAGTGCGCAGGGAGTTATTTTATGAGCTGCCCTGTGATTTTAATTTGATTAGTCCTAAAAGGCTATCTGAGGTGAAGAAGTTAAGCAGCTTACCAGGCTCATACTACTGAAAGGGGCAGTGTGAAACTGGCTTTTCCAGACTCCACTCCAAATTCATCAGTTTAATTGTGATGGCCTGCTGACTTTTTAGATCTAGCATGGCTTCTCTCCTCCACCTTCTCGATTCTCTCCCTCCTCCTGCTCCTCCCCCTCCTCCTCCTCATTGTTGTTGTTCTCCTCTTTCTCCTCCTTCCCTTCCTCATCCTCCTCTTCATCTTCTGTTCTCTCTGTATCTCTATCTCCACTTCTCTACCTCTCTCTATCTGTCTCTCAATGTCTCTGTCTCTTGTTTCTTTCTGTATCTGTGTGTGTCTGATTGTCTCTGTCTCTCTATGTGTATCTAACTCTTTCTTCATTTCTTTGTATATCTGTCTCCATCTCTATTTCTCTATCTTGTTCTCTGTCTCTATTTTTGTCTCTCTCCCTCTCTTTTTCTCTCCTCCTCTATCTTTAGCTCTCTACTCACGTAATACCTGATATTAGTTAGCCAAAAAGAGTTAGTTCAATTAAACAAAATCCTATTAATCACCTGCCTTATATCAGTCACTGGGTAAGGATGCTAAGGATGAAAAGATAAAACCTCCCCTGTTCCCAAGGACCTCATATACTAACATGCATACGGCACAGATAATTAAATAGAAGAGAATTTGAGGAATGAGAGAAAACTCACTCCTGGAGAGTGTGAGGGGGTGGATCAAGGAAAGCTTTGTGAAGGAGGGAGAACCTGAGCTGGGTCTTGAGGGAATAGAGTCAGTCAAAAGTTCAGTTATGAGGAGGGAGACCACTGAAGGCAGGGAGAGAAATGACACATGCGAGGGTTCAGAAATACGAGAAACAAAATCGGTTTCTGGTGAGAGCTATGTTTAATTTAGCAGAATCTTAGACAGTTTGAAGGAAAATTATGTGATACAAAAGCAGAAGATGGGAAACGAATTGCAGAAAGGCCTTAGTGTCAATCTAAGCCATTTATATTTATATTGCATGGTAGGGGCAGCAGAGGCTACTGCAGGTTTGGGAACAGGGGAGAGATGTCTTAGAAAGACACAGCTCACTGTGTCTTAGGAAACCTAGGTAGGCATGTGGAGAGTGACTTGGAGAGGGGAAGCACTGGAGCAGGGACTGTAGTTCTGGTAATGACTGATAAGGGCCAGCAGTAGGGTGGGGCTGGCTGTTCATAGAGAATAGGGAAAACAAAATATCTGTTACCAATTTAGATCTTGAAGGGCTCTTAGACATCATTATGATTTACAGGTTAAAAAAAAAAGACAAAAACAGAGACACAGGGACATTAAGTGAGTTGTCCATGGTCACACAGGTAATTAGTTTTAGGCTGGAGATTTTAACACAGATTGCTTACCCCCAGAGTTGGGAGCTCTCCAGTCTACTAAATGGTCTCCCACTATTGGACTAGATGTGAAAGGATTTGACAAAATATTGGACAAAGAAATGACTGAAAAATAATAGGAAGACCCCCATCATCAGAAGTTAGTGAGTATATGAACAGCAGCAGTTCACCATAACAGTTAAAAGCTACTGGTATATTATAAAGAATCTGGCTCAGTTCAGATTCACACAAGGCAACCTTTACAATGAACAACAACAATAATAATAACAATAACAATTTAATAAAATAGAATGATATGTTAGAATATTTTGAAAGCATAGCAGTAATAATAATCAGTAAACTTTAAATGCTTCAAATTAAACATTTTATACATATATAAATACACATATGCATATATACATTATATACATATATACATTTTCTCCTTTGAATTTGACAACACCCCGATTAAGCTTCAAAGAGCCAGGATTTCCTTTCGGTTTGAAAACATCATTAATTTCTATGAGACAGAATATGATGCCATCTGTGCAGAGTGCCCAAGAAGAGCCTAGTATTCAGAGATAGAATGTGGGGATCCATTGTCCTGGTTCCTTATTGTCTGAACATGTCTCCTTTCAGCCAGGGGCGATTGAGACGGCCAGACAAGACTTAAAGAACCACGTGGACGAGACGATGGGTGAAGCCATTCAAGGTTTCTGGCTCTTGACAGAGTAAGTAGCTGCCTGGATGGGCCTTGGGCAGTTGGGGTTTTCTTGGCCTAAGATGGAGCTCCTCCAGGCCTGCTTTTCTGGTCCCCTTGCTCAGCAGTCCTCCCCCTTCTAGCTCTGCTACCTCTTTCTCCCTCTCCCCCTTTTGTCTTCTCCCTTTCTGCCTTCCCTCCCTCTCTTCTCTCTCTTTATCTCCTCAAATTGTCAATTGTCACATATATTCTCTGTTTACATGCCATAGCTGGAAACTCTATGTGTGTCGGGACATTCACAATTTTATCTTTGCACACCCAGAGCCCCAAACAGGTCATGGCATATAGTAGATTTTTAACGATGCTTATTGCATTGGCTAGGATTGCATGTCAAGGAATTTGTAGTAAATGTCAGCATTGAGTGGGAGGGAGGAAAACAATAAATACTGTTACTAATGATTATGATAATAATAATAAGTATTTCTTGAAGGCTTAAATATACTTTTCAGACATTATCTTCTTTCTCCCTCACAGCAGCTCTGAAGGCTGCTATTATTAAGCCTCCTTTACAGGTGAGAAAACTGAGGCTCAGAGCTATTAAAATGACCTTCCCACAGTCATACAGCTAGTCAGTATCTAAGGCAGGATTTGAGTCTTGTCCTTCCTGACTTCCAGGCCAATGTTAGGATAAGCTACATTAGGCTAAGCTAACTCCACTCTCTTAAAGATTAATTCCCTTTATTTAGTAAAGAAACCTCTTGATTGAATCAATGTTCAGACCTAGCTGTGAACTCAGGTTCATAACTGAGGAGAGATTCCAAGGGTCTAATGGAAAGAAAGAAAGGTTGCAGGGTTGATGTAGGGCATCAAGGGCTAAGCCAGAAAGAATCTGCAAACTGGGGCAATAATGAAAGGAGAAAGAGAGGGTGGGACTGAGCCGTGGCAGCAAAGAGAAAGACTGAACATGGCCATCAGCTCTACAGACAACTCTAGGCAGAAGACTTTGTGGAATGCCCCCAGTTGCACCCACCCTCCTCAAGGGCTGAGAGTCAATTCAAGAGAAGGCCTGTTTTTTCCCCCAGCTTCCCCTTAGTGCCTCTGTATTACCTTCTTCTTTCCCCTAACATTTCTGGTTACCTGAATTTTTCCTAAGCCAGAAACCAAGGATTAGAGAAAAAAAACATAAAGGGAAGCTGAGGGAGAAAGAGACAGAGAGAGAGAGAGAGAGAGAGAGAGAGAGAGAGAGAGAGAGAGAGACAGAGATAGAGACAGAGACAGAGAGACAGAGAGAGAGAGAAAGACAGAGAGAGAGACAGAGTCAAGCCTCTCTCTAAATGTCAGGAATTTTCTAAATGGAGGCTCAGAACAATTTTCATGGTACTCTATGAAAGTTTTTTTTAATTATACTCTCTCTAAAGCAGTAGAGGCATGAACTACATGATCCTCAGGAGGCATCTTGTTGCCATCAGATTTAACGTCAATTAATTATTTTTACAAGCCTGCTCTTGGGGAAGAGAAATGTATGCCCAATCCAAGTATTTTTGCTCTTGCACTCTTTTGAGAGATGGGTCATAGGTAGTGGTGTGTATGAGATTCATAATTCTCAGTAATCAGTGATTAATTCAAAGAAGCAAAGACAGCAAATGAACAAAACACTCTCCTCTTTTGGATAGTCCTTGTAGGGAGCTGACTATGGCATCCTCCTCTATAGCTCTAGCATCAATCACATTCCAGTAGCTTGGCCCCTGATAAGATGATCCTATCTCAGTGTGTGCTGGTTCTCAGAAATGAGTAACTTAACGGAGTCACAAGGAATGAGAGGCACTTATATGGAGAAAAGGACTGCCATGATGTTTGCAGATAGCCTTTCTGCATCCCCCTTCTTTCAAATATATGGCTTTATAAAAAGCCCTATTTAATTGTGCTTCTACAGAGACCACACAGAGGTCAATGAACTGATATCCATTTTTTTTCTCTAAGGTTAGAGCAATTGGGAACCTGCGACATTCCCATGTTCAGAGATTTAAATCTAGAATAGACCTGAGAGACCACCTATTACAGCCACCTCATTTGACAGTTGAAGAAATTGAGGCAAAGAGAGAGGAAACGACTTGGACAAGTTGCAAAGCTCATAATTACTTCTATCCTCAGTTCTACCAGAGTCTGACTGTGTGACAATGGACAAGTCATTTCCCCTCACTGGGCCTTAAATCCATCATCAGTAGAGAAATTATGCTAGACAATCTCTATGATCTCATCTTACTGGGATCTGTGATTCAGAATTCAGGCCTTTTCCAAATCTAATTTAGTGATTCATCAATTACTTGAATGGTCTCTTTAGCTCCCTCAAGCTCTGGTCAACTCAACTTTATGGAAAAGTAAGGGCAAAATGCAGGGACGAGACAGAGGGAGGAAATGATAATGGAACACTAGTTCTAATTCCCCTTATTCCAAAGCTGTCATAAGTATAATGCAGATACAGCAGGATGAGTCTTATTGAATATATCAATATGTCAAGTGCCTGTGGATTTCATCTGAGTGGGAGTTCAAAAGAAAATCTTTCTCTGTGAATTTCTTACAAGTAAGAAGGATTTTACCTGAAATAAGTAGTATTTTCAAATGAAGGGCTCAAAGCATTAAGGATGCTTTTGTCAGCTGGAGCCAGCAGATCAGTATTGCATGCTAAAAGACATTCATGATTATGATGCATTATTATGTAACACAGGCCTTTGAGTTACACTTTTTTTCATTAACTTCATTTTAGTTATTACAACTCACATTTAGACAGAATGCTTTCAGATTTATAAAGCACTTCCTCCCCATAGTAACCTCATAAGGGTGACGTAAATAGTATTGCCTCTACCTTCCAAAAGGAGAAACTGAGAATCAGAGAAATCATGCCATTTAGCTCTGCTCCCATAGAGAGTGAGTTCTGTGGGATCTTGGGAGTTAGAGCATCCTCCCACTCTTCTTCTTCTTCTTCATTAGACAGATAAGAAACTGAGGCTCAGAGAGTAGATGTGACCTGGAGGTCACAGTGGCATTACAGAGCAAGGCCCGAAGTGGAAGATAATTTGTCAAGCTCCAAATCAAGTGCTCTTTCTACCACATCACAGCTGAACCCTAGGCTCATGACTATAAGTCCTTCCCCTTTCCCATCATAGTCCATTTCCCCAAAATTATAGAAAACAAAGAATACCTGAACTACCAATGCATTGTATTCTTAAAACTTATTTTATAATACATGCATAGACACACGTGCCCCCAACTTGGAAAGCATTTTCCCATGTAAACTGCATGTGATGGTCACATTATCAGTCTTACCCCAGAAACTTATTTTATGTATAAAGCAAATGAATGAATACATCATAAATAAGGATTTATTGTAGCCTAATATGTGCCAAGGTTTTTTTTTTGTTTAGTCATTTTTCGGTCATGCCAAACTCTTCATGACCCCTTTGGGAATTTTCTTGGCAAAGATAGTGGAGCATTTTGCCATTTCTTTCTCCAGCTTAATTTTACAGATGAGGAAACTGAGGCAAAAGAAGGTTAAGTGACTTGCCCAGGGTCACATAGCCAGTAACTATCTGAGGCCAGATTTAAATCTAGGTCTTCCTGACTCCAGGACCAGCACTCTGTTGACTGTGACACCTAGCTATCCAGCTGTGGTGGAGAAAGTATACAAGGAAAGGAAGCGGCATATTCAATAGATGTTGCTAAAGGTTAATTTGACAGGTCTGGGAAGCAGATTGGATTTGGGGGGAGAGATAATGAGGAATCCATGATGCCTCCCAGGTTGTGAGCCTGAGGGACTAATAGGGTAGTGTTGCCATCATAGTAATAGGAAAGGTAGAAGAAGAGTTGGGTTTTGGGGAAAGATGTTGAGTTCAGTTTTGGACATAACAAGTTTCAGATGTCTACTGGACATCCATGTCAAGATGTCTGAAAGACAGTTAGAGATGTGAGTTTGGAGGTCAGCAAAAAGTTTGAAGGAGGGTGGGCAGGTTTGAAAATTTTCACTATATAGATGGTAATTAAATCCATGGGAACTGATGAAATCTCTAAGCGAAGTAGCATAGAAGAAGAGAAGAGGGCAGGCCAGACCACTGAGGCACACCTATATTTAGAGGGGCGATCTGGAAGATATAAATACAAGGAACAAGGAAAAACTACTTCTGCCCTCAAGGAGTTCACATTGAAACAAGGTGGAGATGACTGAAGGTACTCCACGTGGGCATGATTGGGAAATCCCAGGAGGGGACTGAAGGCAGTCTGGCCTGCACCCCAAAATAAAATGGAGGCCCATGAGGAAATTACCAATGGGAGAAGATTGGTAGGACTTGCAAAGGGACATTCCACAGTGTATGGATTATGGTAGGCCCATTGACACAAGGTAAAGAGGCCCAGGCAAGGAAAGAAGTTCTGGCATGAAGCAACACTAGAGAGAGAAGGATCCCAAAGTCCAAGAAATTCAAGAGCAGAGTCAGGAGGGTAGGGAAGAGATAAGTCACACACCTTCTTTGGACATCATTTCCCACATCTTTAAAATGGTAGGTCTGGACCCAGTAATTTCCAAGGTCTCTTCCAATTACACATCTTCTCATGTGAAAGTTGGGGACTGCTTCTTCAATATGAAACCTCCTGAGATGGTGGGAGCTGTGATGTTCCCTCATTGCCACCGAGATGGGCATCGCACACAATGATTACCCACCTGGAGGAAGCTGGATCGGAGTTAGGGCCAATCGAAGTCAGTGCTCTTGCACCAAGACATCTGGGACAAACTTTGGGACCTCATAGTTATTACATGGAATTTGCTTAAAAGAAATTCCATACATCTGATTTTTCCCTTCTCCTTCCTAATGAAAGTTTTTCTTTTCTTTTAATACAGAGAAAAATAGATAATGAGATTTTTTGGGGGCAGCTTCATTGTGAAAGACATTAGAAAGAAATGTTCTTTGAAGAGAGTCAATATATATAGAGAGAATTAAAGTCCTGGCCTCAGAATTCAGAAAATCTGGGTTCAGATCCCCT